ATCAACGTTTCGACCGAGAAGGTCTTTATCGAGATGTGTACAAATGGGAATATACAGTTTATATAAGGCATAAAACATAAACAAGCAATCACTTACCCTAGTGCAGGTGTGCCCAATAGATCCGTGCTCAAGACGCTGTGTGGACCGGAAGAGGTAACCGTGCATGCGTGGGAAACATGCGTGATGACGTGAGGTATATGTAAATGATGATAATCGCGTCTCATAATCATGGTGACGCGTGAATAAAAATAAGTGACTAAATAATGTTGTGAAAATTATTTAGTCACTTTTTTTTAATTCACGCATCACCATGGTTATGAGACGCGATTATCATCATTTACATATATTACACGCCATGCAGCACCGTGGTCTATTGAATATTAACAGATTTAAGGTAGAGTGCCGGATCATTTCTGTAGTGGAACGCTGGTCTCTCACAGACTATTTCTGCTGGTAGTCCAGGTGTGGCTCAGGAACAAGTAGTAACCCCAGGAAAAACATCCACAGTAATAGAATAATCCAACAGCGTAGCAAGCACAATCAGCAATACAATACAATAATATCCCATCACCTTTCCCAATAACTGGACGACACACAGTATCAGGAGCAGAACTTAACTGAGGTTTAATTTCACATTCCCTGCTTTTATGCAATGTTCCTATGCAAGGGAGACACCCACAATAATTAGTACATTCACCAATCGGATACATGTTACCTCCCACACATCTCCTCCCCTCTGCCTGTGATACAATTATCTCAACACAATAGACTAACTTAATTATCACAGGCAGAGAAATACAGTTTTTACGAAATATTAATAACTTCAAAAATATAAATGCCACAAACATAAACTCAGCACACTTTAATTATAAACATATCCAAAATTCAGCCAATTCCATCCAGGGGTTAAAAAGTTAGCTGGAGGTCCCTTTTTGACCAACCGCAAGCACATTTTCATGCCCAAAACAGCTCCATGGATTTGGGCTGTGCGGTCCGTCTATTTCAGGCTGAAAAAACGACTAAGTCCCATCGCCGAATGGGACTTAGTCTCTGCGGCTGCAAAATCATTGTGGGAGAAGGAAAGGCTCAGCGGTATTCGCGGAACTGTGTAGCTGATTTCAGTTCCATGAATTTGGCTACACACACCACTTACCGCATTGTATAAAAAAAGATGGCCGCCGCCACGTGTTTGTTTGCGCAAACGGCGGCCCCCCAGCGTTCGGCAATTTACCTACAGCAGGCACCCAGCCTGGGAGGTAAATTGCCTGCACACTTCCAGCTCTGAGTGGTCTGCCTGTGCAGTGAATGGCTCGGTAAGCCCCAATTACCGAACCATAAGGGAAAAAGCCATTTAAAAGTTATTTCCAAAGTCTGGGGACATTGGGGACACCATCTTAAAGGGGCAGTGTCCCAAACAAGTCTGGGGACACAGTTTTAAAGGGGCCTTGTCCCAAATAGGTCTGGGGACACAGATTTAAAGGGGCATTGTCCCAAATTTTCGCCATGCCCCAAAATGGTTCTTAAAGGGCTAGCAGCACCATACAAAGCCAATATGCCCAAATATTGTACTTAAAGGGGCACATCTTCCCGGGACCATAATCACTGGGTAGGAGGCGGGCCAGCAGCCCCCTCCAAGAATACATGGCAAACTCCGTTAATGGGGCAAGTTTGCTACAATTTATTTTTTGTACACACATATATATATATATATATATATATATATATACACACACATATATACATACAAGGGGGCAGTGAGGGGAACTTGGGTTGGATGTGGGGAAATCTACTGAGGTATAGTACGGCCTGTACAGATGTATGAGAGAAAATTGCAACCACTGGTTTAGATATTAAAAATAATTAATATACAATTACTAAAAATTATCAGAATATGTCAGATGGGTTGGAACAAATTCACATTAAAATAAAAAAAAAATCATGAAAAAAAAAAAGGCCTGACATTGCACTAAAATGGAAATGTAAAATAGTGATACAATTATTAGTAATTATTAGTAATAGAAAACATTACTTTATTAGCATTGCAACTAGAAAAGATATACATTTAACCAATAACAACTTGATCAGTTGAAAATACAGCTGACTTTTTCTATTTAGGCTTCTGTGACCTAAAATTTGAAAATTCACTTTTAATTCCTGACAATTCATATTTTAGTGAAGAACCCTGCAGTGTACATGTTGAGAGAAGTAGCACAACATGCAGTTATTCAAATAGACCAGAAGATGGCACTCATGGGTTTACTCTACCCCATACTCTAATAATTTTAACATTTAGAGCAGGGATGCTCAACCCATGTTATGTGGGACACATGTGGCTGGCTATGCCCTTCAATCAAGCAATCAACTGGTGCATGTCCTATTTAATTACATCAAATCTTTTCAGATGAAATTAGAAGAGTTTAAGTGATTGGCTAGATTACTGCAATGTACTTTACTTGGGCTTCTCAGAAAAAGAACTCCATCGCCTTCAGACTGTACAAAATGCAGCAGCCGGACTACTGACCAATCAAACTCGCTCATGCCACATAACACCTGTTCTCCACTCTCTGCATTGGCTTCCAATTAAATGGCAAACATGTTTTAAAATTTGCCTGCTAACCTTCAAAGCCTTAAACAATCAAGACCCACAGTACCTGAAAGAGCTCCTGAGTCCTGACACCCTACATTCCATCCCGATCACTTCGGTCAGCCAGCAAAACCCTCCTGTTCGTGCCAAGAATAAAGACAGACTTAGGTTCCATGGCATTCAGCCACACTGCTCCTACCTTCTGGAACTCTTTACCGTGTGCAATCAGAGAGGCACCATCCTTACAGACTTTTTTTTTTTTTTAAAGCTAAAGACCCACCTCTTGCATTAGGCATTCAGTCCACTTATCTGATCTTCAGAAACGTCTTAATTTTTATGTCTTTATGTTTGTATATTTCTAAAGTGTTTTAAGTCTCACGGGCAGAAAAGCACTATAAAAATTGCAAATTATTATTATACTTATTATAACTGTAAGACCAGAATTTTTAGTAGCACTCCGGGCACCATGACAACTTAATCAAAATGATGTTGTTATCTGTGACAGGAGGTTGCTGGCACTTCCTTATCATTAGGGGTTAAACTGTTCACAAACAGTTTAACCCCAACATCTGTGCTCCACCACCAGATCGCTTTGCCTCCCTGTCCTTCTGCCCTTTGAAATTCTTTAGAACGGAAGGATCAGGTAGCAACAGGTAGGGGCACCAATGAGTTGGCTTACAGTGTTCAGTTGACACTCTAAGCCAATCATTAGCTCCCCATTCATAAAAATGGTTTGTATGGTGCCAGGAAGTGCCCAGCGTGTCCCTTAACTAATTTCCAAAGCATGTTGTAATTGTAATCTGCAGAATATGCTCCTCAAAATGTGGCTGCTTCAGACCAAGTTTCAAGAGAGATTCCAAGATATTAACCCTCTAGAAACTAACCCCTTCTCTGTGAATCTAAAGGATACTCCAGGGGAACCTCCAAGGTAACATTAAAAATCAAATATTATGAAATGCTTCTTCTAGAATTTTAACAAAAGTATGTAGAAAAGGGAACATTTGTCAGTTTAACAATTTCATCTTCTTCCACTTCAAAAGCTCATATTTATGTTACCGTATATACTCCAGTATAAGTCGAGTTTTTCAGCACATTTTTTGTGCTGAAAACCCCCAACTCGGCTTATACTCGAGTCAATGTCTGTATTATGGCAACTTACATTGCCATAATACAGACCAGGACCGCCAGGCTCATTACAAGCCCGGCGGTCCTGTTGTGGGCTGGCAGAGAGCTGTAACTTACCTTTCCCGCAGCTCCTGTCAGCTCCCTTCTCCTCCGGTCTGGTCAGCTCCCCTGTCAGCTCCCTTGCAAGTCTCGCGAGAGCCGCGGGTCAGAGCGTTGCCATGGCTTACCATGGCAACGCTCTGTGCGGCACTCACACCGCGAGCCTTGCAGTGCAGGAGAAGGGAGCTGCCAGTCCCCTCCTACACAGCCCATCCACTGGCCCACCAGGGAATGAGAGCCCTCCTCCCTGGCCAGGTAACAAGCAGAGAGGGAGGACGAAAAAAAAAAAAATAAATAAAATATTACAATAAAAAAAATATTAATAATATAAAAAATAAATAAATAATAATTTTAACCCCTTAAGACCGGAGGGCGTACTATTACGTCCTCTAATAGGCGGCTCTAAACGCCGCCGGGCGTAATAGTACGCCCTCCGGTCTTTCTGTACTTACCCGGTCGCCGGCGGTCCCACGCCGGCGATCGCGGTGGGGGGGACTCCCAGGGAGCCCCCCGCGGCACGACCGTCCTCCAGGAAGCCCCCCGGCCGTGTGAGAGTGGGGTCCTAGCGAGGACCCCACAATCACATGGCCGGGGATAGCTGGCTTCTGTATTGCCAGCAGGGGGGCTGCCTGTAATGACAGGTGGTCCCCCTGCTGGCTGAAAATAAAAATGAAATAAATAAATAGTGTAAAAAAATAAATAATATATACTTAGATCATATATATATATTATATATATATGATCAAAGTATATATACACACATATACATACACACATGTACACCGTCTAGGTGTATTTTACTATTAATATATATATAATTATATATATATATTAATATCAAATTACACGTACACTGATACTGATTAAATATATATATAATTATTGTTATATATATATTTATATATATTATAAAAAAAATTAAAATGTAAATACGTTAAAAAATAAAATTACAAAAATAATTAAAAATAAATAATTAAAAAATATATAGATGTGTGTTATTTCGTTCTAACTGTATTGTGAAATATATATATATATATATCAAAATACACATAGAACGAAATAATATATATATTTATACACATAAATATATACGTATATATCACTATATATATACCTATATATAAATAAAAATATTTAAAAAAAATATAGATATATACATATATATACACATACGTATATATATACATATATTGATTCTACATATATATTTATGTAATATTTTTACATAATTAGGTATCTTAATTAATTACAATTAGCAGGACCTGCATGACAACCCATGCCGAAAGTAAAGGGAATTTAATTTGTTAGCACTATATTTAACCCTATAACTTTCCGAGACACCATAAAACCTGTACATGGGGGGTACTGTTCTACTCGGTAGACTTCGCTGAACACAAATATTAGTGTTTCAAAACAGTAAAATGTATTACAACGATGATATCGCCAGTAAAAGTGAAGTTTTTTGCATTTTTCACGCACAAACAGCATTAAACGGACAATATTATTGCTATGATACTTTTTACTGTTTTGAAACACAAATATTTGTGTTCAGCGAAGTCTCCCGAGTACAACAGTACCCCTCATGTACAGGTTTTATGGTGTTTTCAAAAGTTACAGCGCCAAATATAAGGCTTGCGTTTCATTTTTTCACATTAAAATTCGCCAGATTGGTTACGTTGCCTTTGAGACCCTATGGTAGCCCAAGAATGAAAATTACCCCTATGATGGCATACCATTTGCAATAGTAGACAACCCAAGGTATTGCAAACGGGGTATGTCCAGTCTTTTTAGTAGCCACTTAGTCACAAACACTGGCCAAAATTGGCGTTTTTTGCATTTTTTCACACACAAACAAATACTAACGCTAACTTTGGCCAGTGTTTGTGACCAAATGGCTACTAAAAAAGACTGGACATACCCCATTTGCAATACCTTGGGTTGTCTACTATTGCAAATGGTATGCCATTATGGGTGTAAATTTCATTCCTGGGCTACTATACAGTCTCAAAGGCAACGTAACCAATCTGGCGAATTTCAATTTCAAATGTAACGTGCTATATTTGACCCTGTAACTTCCCAAAACGCCATAAAACCTGTACATAGGGGGTACTGTTTTACACGTGAGACTTTGCTGAATACAAATATGTGTATTTTATTGCAGTAAAAGCAAACAGTATTATGACACTGACCGTTTAAATGTCATGTAGAACTAAAAAAATCCAATAAAATCGTATTTTCTCCCATTTTTTTCATATTAAATTATGTTTCATAGCTAAATACTTGATATTAAATGAAAGCCCTGTTTCCACTGAATAAAATGATATATAATAAGGGTGGGTGCATTTACTATGAAAGAGGTGTATTACGGTTGGACAGACATGTAGCGCAAATGCCAGGTTTTGTTTACATTTTGTTTTGTTCACAACGTGTACATTTGGCTCCGTCCTTAAGGGGTTAAAAAACTGTGTTAGCATTTCATTGAAACTCCACCACAATCAAAATATGTCATAAGGCAAAATAGGGCCTATTTAGTTTTTTGGTCAAGCCTGAGGTTAACAAAACTTGACAGAGCTTCCTCTGTGACATGTTGCCAGATCCCGTAACTGGTGCTAGGATATAAGCTGTAGGATATAAGCAGCATCTTCTCGTACATTGCAACATTTGGTCAGTGGACGTAAGTGCAATCTCCAGGGATCCTCAGTAGACCTCCATGCTGTATTTTTTGAGTATGCTTGTGGATGAAGCTCCAGGAACCAAAGAAAGAAGATGGCAGCACTATCTAGGGAGAGCTCTAGGTTTGTTTAACAACTATTTGTTTTCCGATGTCCATCACACACAAGCAGGGATGTCACCTTCAGGAGTCTTTGCAAAATTTGCAGAGATGCCCAAAGATGACAGAGCTGCTTTAAGTATGGGCGCCACCTTTCCTTTACTTTGTTCCTTTATTAGAAAATAACCTCGGAAAAAAATATTCCTTGCTCCATTGGTAATGTAATTTTGCATGCATTGTTGTATTATAAAAAGATATTTTGTATTTGAATAAAAGTAACTGTAGCACACTGAATTGATTTTTTAACCATTTTTAGTTTACAACCAACAATTGAATTGTGAATTGTGAGCTCTTCAGTTTATGGTGAAATTTGTGAGATTCAGCCTCACAATGATGGTCAATTTCCTGATGTTCCCTTCATATATAAGGGTAGACCATGGCAAAATAATTCATATTCGGAATTATATCCATGTACTTCAGAAATATCTCAAAAAGCTTCTTATCTTGTTTAACTGTCTCACTTCTGCTGATATAAATTCGGATCTGTAAAAAAACAAAACAAGAATTAAATAAAGTGACAGATAAACCAACCAAAGAAGTAGATTAAATGTGATCGTTGTTTATCTTGTTTACTGGCCACAGAACAAGTTTCTCAGTTATTATTAAAGTAATGGAGGCCATTACGACCACTGTCCAAGCCTACCTACTCTTTATTCCATCCCTTCAACACACACAAACACCTGGAAGGAAATGTACAGTTACTGTTAGTAACTGGTGGAGTTCAGCAAGACCGCTGTCCCATCATACTCAACATTCTATCAATCCAACACATACACATTCAGGTTGTGATACATATTTACTGGTAAACTAGAGGTGGCCATTAAAGGAACACTATAGGGTCAGGAACACAAACATGCATTCCTGGTGTTAAAAACACCATCTAGCCCCCTTGGTTCCCAAGTGCTCCCCTAAATATAGTAAAATATTACCTTTATTGCAGTCTGCTGTTGCTGGCTCTGGCCCTGATCTGCCCCTGTTATTTCCACTGAGCTAACCAAACCAGGAAGTAACAGGGCAGTTTGTCTGGCTGACAGCCAGGGGATGTAACAAGATTAATTTATAAATGTCTACTGAGATTTCTACTGAGATCTGCACTTGTAAAATGAAAATGGACACACTCTTTACACATAAAACACCTGAGCAATCTCTAGTACTTTAGGAATCCAGAGTGTTTAAAGGGACATTACACACCCAGATAACTTAATCACATTGAAGTGAATTGGGTGCAATGTCCCTGTCTGTTTAACCGTGCAGTGTAAAACATTACTGTTTTTGGAGGGGCTTCCAGGTTCTTAACAGAGTTTTACATCGAACATCTTCAAATTCCAAACAGGAAAGCATTAATTTAATTATTCCCTATACGGAAGTTTTATTACGCGTGTGGTGCTCCCATCACTCGCTCCCACTATCGCTGTGATGTTGGGGGAGGAGGAGACCTAGCCAGTTTCGTTAGTGCTGGAAAAAAAGTTAGTACAAAAAGTTTTTTTTTATCCCTTTCAATATAGGGGGCGATGGAAGGGGGGTACCAATAAAGTTAGGGACACAGACACTATTGCATTAGGGATACTGACTCATATTCCTAATGCTACAGTGTTCTTTTAACTAGTGGTGGTTATTAGGACTACTAGGCACACACACAGTGAAATCGTTCTATAAAGTTTAACAAGGGATAATTAGACAATTACTACATAATCTTTTATTTTATTTGTCAGATTGCAATTATCACCTACTAACCTTGAAAGTTTCCAGAGAGCACTTGCCTTCTTTTTGTTTCTGTAGTATCCTTTCCACAAATGCAACTTTCAGAAAAGCCCACAATTTGAGATAGTTTAACTTTTTACACAAAAGCACAAGTTTAATCAGCTCATCATCAAGATATTCATGGTTGCTATACTCCAATGTCAGCTTCTAGGTTGGAGAACAAAAAACATTATAGAAGAGTCTAACACTTGCCCTCCTGACTGCATCAATCACTATACAATTTTTATTGGTCAGACATACACTTGTAAATTGGGGTGGGGAGTGAACAATTCATGCCAGTTACATGTTTGCAGTTTTCCAAAATTTGAAAATGAACTAATTGAAATGAAACTAAATACATTTTTCAAATACCTCTAATTTTCTTTATTTTTCTGTGTGTATCTATATGTGTTTGTCAGTGTGTGTATATTTGTGTGTGTAATTGAGTGTTTATCTGCGTGTTTTTTTTTTTTCATTTTTGTGTACCCCTTTGTGTGTATGTGTGTGTCTGTGAACACCTGTGTAGCTGTGTGTGTTTCTCTGTGTGTGGCAATGTATATATAAATATGAATATACTTTCCCAACACCAACATTACACAAAAATACATGCATGTATTCAAACAGTACACTCTTGCATACCAATGCCAACATCACATAAAAATACACACCTGCAGTCAAACAGCACCACAACAGAAAAACATCAACCTGTGTCCAAACACCAACACTATACACAAATACACTCCTGTATTCAAACATCAACATCACACGCAAGTACATCCCTGAATTCACGCATGCATACTCCATAGAAAAGCACCACTACAATTTAACAAAAAAATGAAAGACATTGCACAAAAATACCACCCTGCCAATATTTATGTATTCTGGGAGTAGATGGGCCTGCATCGATCCACAGTAAACAAAACAGAGCTAGATGTTCTCACTGCAGCATCCAACTACAATGAACAAAATATAGAACTAGAGACAGAGTATCTCATCTGATATCTTATCTCTGGTCTTTTGGACTCTAAACTCTGTTCTGTCCTATACACAACTGTTGTAAAAAAAGTAAAAGGAATATATCATACTTGTAAAGTGTCTTTGTAATTTGGCAGGAGTTCAGTAACTGTAGACCTCAAGGACCACCTTCGATCACTGAAGTAACAACTTCTTATACTAATGTTGGAGGCAGGTATCTCTGGAAGGAGTATCCTGGATAAATCACTGTACAGCAATACTCTTTCAAACAGAAAGTTAACCTGCAAGTTTTTGGCTTCTTGTGCCAGCTTTTTCCATGACTTCCCTGCCACCACTTGCATGTGAGGATCATAAATGTGGCACTTGATAGTAAGCGTGGAAAGTGAGTATCTACAGTTTTCACACAGTATTTCCAGAATCGTATCTGAAATGCAACTGTAATTGAGGGTGAGACTATTCAGGTTATGGAAAGCAGACATTGCTTCATGGAAACAAACATCACTGTAGACAGGAATATGGCGGGTGAAGAAATCTTCAATGTTTAGCTCAGCTAAGTAGATCACATTCTCTGAAGAACTCAAGGACTTAAGAATGGTGCAGCCTTGTTCTAGGCTCATTTTGGCCCCTCGTATATTTAAGCTTTCCAGATTTTTCCCCATCTTTTTAAGGAATAGGCTGAGGCTCTGGATAAATGTATCCCTCAATTTGTTGCTCCAGATCACCCTTTCCAGTTCTAAGTGCGGAATAGAAAAACATTTTAGGCACTTGTTCTTTTTTCCCAGGTTTGCCAACAAACTTTTCATGGACATCTGGAAATCCCGGGTTAGGACAGAATTATAAACATTTAGAAACCTGATCTCCAAATTTTCCAGATATATACCAAACTTCTTGACATACCGGACTGCAGATTTAAATTCTGTTACACTGGGCATGGTCGAACGACCACCAAAAATAATAGTCCGGGACTTCCAAAGAATTGCAGAGTACAGGATTTGATTCCATTTCCGGCACACTGAAGCAGCAGATGTTCTGTCTTTGTCACCAAGATACATGAAAATCTTCTGTAGACACAGCTGAGGCAATGAGTCCCAACTGCTTTGACTATGATTATCCATTGGCTTGTTTATTTTCAAACTCTCACATTGGATACATTGGGAGAATCATTTCCAGGTATAAGCAGTTTCTGTAGGCTTATCTTTTGGTTTGGTTATCCTTGTATTTCCTTCAACTGGAGGTGCTTATGGATGGTATGCGAAACCTACCGAAAAAAAAATATCGCATAAATGTTACTGCTCTGCACTAATAAAATGAAGTGTAAAAACATTAAACACAATCTACAAAAAAAAAGAAAAAAAATTCAACTAAAAATTATAGAAAATAAATTAAAAAAACAAACGTATTTGCTGCTAAATACAAAACAAACTGCCAATATAACTTTCCATAATCCAAAACTTGTGGTATTATTTCCATGTAGAGCACATTTATAATATACTGTCAGAATGATTTAACCAGGAAGGATCCATTTAATATTTGCTAAATTTCAAGAATGTCTTAGTTATATCTGTTTATTATTTCTCAGCTCAATAGGGATGTGGGGCTTTTATTTTATGTATTGGGGCTGATGTATACTATGGTCATTGCTGCTGTCCAGGAGTAGTGGGAGTCTGAGCGCAGGAATTTTGTGTATTTGTATTCACTCAACTTTACGCCTAGTTCAAAGTCTATATTACAAAATTACATGAGTTCTCTATTTCAGTATATTTAAGGGAACTTTTAAAAGTGTTTTAAAATAGTGACTATGGCAAAACAAATACTTTTATACTGTCTTGTAGATATGTTATAGCAATAATTTTGTTGATGTACATTATGCAAAATGGTAAACAATAAGTGGTGGTCGGTATAACAGGAAGCATACATAAGCAGCATACAGACATAGGGGTGGACTATGGAAACCTGTTAATATTTTTAATTAAAAAGGTGCAATGGTTCCATTTTAAAAGCATAGAAATGCTAAAGAGAACTGTAAGAAATCTAAATTAACTTGAAGGTGGGAGCTCCACATTTTGTCTAATTTTGTCAATTTATTCCCTGACTGTAAGACAAATGAATCCCTACTAATGCAGTCAGTATGAGTATTTCACTAAGCATTTACCTTTAAGAAAATAGTAATGCTGGCAGAAATCTGTAATGTACAGGGCATTGTAAGTGACTGTTGTAGTTTTAGTGTATTAGCATGTTATATATTCACAAATGGCTCTCAGACATTGTAGTAAAATAGAACTTCTCTTTACTTCAGTACACACACATAATGACATAACACAAGAGAGACTAACACAACAGAACAAGTGCATAACTTCACTATGCTGCCATCTACTGGAAGGTAGACTGCATAAACCCCACTCCTCCCCTCTAGACCTCAAAGTCTTTGAGATAACTGGAAGGTTTAATATTTCGTCTTGGGCGCCCCAAAACCATGTTTGGAACTGCTTCACCTGGACCTTCGGTTGTGCCCATCCCTTCTTTCTGTGCTCTGTCAGATGGACCACACAGAACTGGTTCTTCAACAACAAGTCCTGGAGAACTGAGACCTGTATCATCCAGTGGTTCAACATCATCTGGTATCAGAGAAAACCCAGTGTGACTGGGACCGGCAGCAGGCACAATCTCATCACTCGGTTCCCGAATCTGATCGACATGCCTTCGTAATATTCCAGCATCAGGAATTTGTACTTTGTATGACAAAGGTCCTGTGGCCACAAGTACTTTTGCAGGTATCCATTTAGGCCCAGAAACATAATTCCTGACATAGACAGCACTGTCAGGTGCAAATACTCTCACAGTAGAAGCATTATAGTTCTTATTGAATTGCAATTCTTGCTTTTCTTGTAACTCAGTTGTCAAATCAGGATGTAAATGATACAGATAAGTTTTAAGACACTGGTTCATAAGGAGCTCTGCTGGACTACTACCGGTGCTTGGGCAAGGTATCACATGTTGTTGCAGAAGGAAATTTGCAAGTCTACGATTCCAATCTCCTTCAATAATTCTCTTTAATGAGTCTTTGGTAGTTTGAACCATACGCTCAGGTTGACCATTTGATAATGGGTGAAATGGTGCAATCGTAACATGTCGAATAAGATTACTTGCTATGAAATTTTTGTATTCTGATGAGGTTAATTGTGTTCCATTATCAGACACAATTGTATCTGGCAACACATGTGTAGCAAACAGCCTCCTTAGAATCTTTATGACTGTGACTGAGGTAGCAGATGTAACTGGAACAACTTCTAACCATTTTGAAAAGGAGTCAACAACAAAAAAAAACATATGTCCGTGAAAAGGGCCAGCAAAATCTATGTGTAAACGGGACCAAGGTGACCTAGTCACTTCCCAAGGATGTACTGAGGCTTTAGTTGGAGCATGACGAGTAGATTGGCATGGTACACAGTTCTTCACCCACTTTTCAATAACTTCATCCATTTTAGGCCACCAAAAATAACTTCTGGCTAAAGCTTTCATGCGAACTATTCCAGGATGTCCTTCATGAAGAGCATGCAATACTCGAGCTTGTCCTGCATTTGGAATTACCACTCTGTTTCCCCATAATAGGCACCCTTTATGGGCATATAGTTCATGTTGATGCACTACAAATGGTTTGAACTTGTCTTACACTTTTGATTTTGGCCACCCCCTCCAAACCCAGTTGAGCACACGGGACAGCAAAAGATCATTGGCAGACATACAAGCAATGTCACTTGCATGTAACGGAGGGTTTGGAATGGATTCCAACATGAGGACCTCAGACATAGGAGGAACAAGGAAGTCAGGAGAAAGCAAAGGTAATTGGCTTAATCCATCAGCATGTGTGATATCCTTGCCAGGACGATACTTTAACTCACAATCATAGGCATTCAGCATAAGGGACCACTTGAGCATGCGTGGTGAAATTATTTGAGGAGTGGGAGTATTGCTGGTGAACAGACCCAGTAAAGGTTTATGATCTGTTATAATAGCACACATCCACCCATACAAATAGTCATGAAACTTTTTTACACCGGACACAATAGCTAAAGCCTCCTTAATTCCTCTCTGTAGTAGATAAAGTCCGTGAATAAAACGCAATAGGAGCCTCAACCCCATTTCTCAAAGTGTGGCTCAATACAGCCCCTATGCCATATGGAGAAGTATTGCAGGTTAGGTTGAGCGGTTTCTCCAACTCATAGTGTACAAGCAAACTGTCAGAAGACAACAGTTTTTTAGCAGCGCTGAAAGCAGTTGTATGAACGTCAGTCCACTTCCATGGAGCATCTTTATCTAGTGGACGATGCAGAGGTTCAGCAACAGTGGCTTTATCAGGCAGAAAAGAATGGTAAAAATTAAGCAACCCTAGGAAAGCTTGCAGTTCTTGTTTGTTTGTTGGAACTGGAGCTCTATGGATAGCTTCAACCTTAGAATCAGTTGAATGAATGCCCTGTGCATCAACTCGTTAACCAAGGAAATCTACGCTGCTTACACCAAAAACACACTTTTCTTTTTTAAGTTTTAGACCAGCATCAAGAAAACGTTGTAAAACAAGTTGTATCTGTGCAGCCAATGACTGTATAGAATCTGCTCCAATAAGAACGTCATCAATATAAGGCAATACACCTGGAAGTCCAGATAAGAGGTCCTCCATTAAATTCTGGAATATGCCAGGAGCAATGGAAACTCCAAACTGCAAACGTCTTGCTCGGAAAGCTCCTTTGAGTGTTATTATCGTTTGTGCATCAGCAGCCTCATCATCCACAGGTAACTGCTGGTAGGGTTGAGCCATATCCAACTTGGCAAATACTTTTCCTTTTGCCAAAGTAGTAAGAATTTGATTAACAGCTGGAATTTGATAGGGATGCTCTTGCAACGCTTTGTTGATTGTACATTTGTAGTCAGCACAGATTCTGACATCCTCATTTGATTTCATGACCGGAACTATGGGTGTACACCACTGTGGGTATGTTACGGGTTCAAGTATACCTTGTTCCACAAGACGTGTAATCTCAGCATCTATTTCTGGTCTGAGAGCTAATGCAATTTTGCGAGGCTTAATACGAATTGGGGGTACTGTTGACTCTAATACAAAAAAAAACAGGAGGGCCTTTAAACATGCCAAGACCTTCTTCAAAAACTGCACTAAATTTATCAATCACATTCTGTAGAATATATGGGATACATTATTAACTCCAGTTAATGAAATTCCTAAGGGTTCAAACCACTCTCTACCTAGCAAACTTACTCTTTGTCCCTTAGTAATTATTAAACGTAAGTGTCCTCTGAATTTACCATATTTTACTGGTATAAAACAAGCCCCTTTAGCATCCACAGCCTGTTTGTTGTAGTCCACGAGATGAATATCACAAGGTACTATTGAAGGAGAATTATAAGGCCATAACAATGTAAATGTCTCTTCTGAAATCAAAGAATATGCGCACCCAGAATCTACTTCCATTTTGCACGGAACATCTTGCAGCACAATTTCAGTGTAAATCTTCAGTCCTGATGGCGAATTTTCCACTTTATTCTCATAGTCATTTGAGTAAACACCTGCAGTCATTTCACTATTTGAAACGGTATATGGATTATTAAAAGAGTGCGCTGCGGTTTGTATTTTATTCACATTCTTATATTTGGTCTGAATTACACTGGCTTGTCTATGGCAAACTGTCTGTATGTGAACTGTACGTCTACATGTGTGGCAAACTGCATTTCAAAAACGACATGTATTACGCCTGTGTTTTCCACCGCAACTATAACAAGTTTCTTTAAATGGAGCTGTGACATCAGTGCATGGTGAAACGTCCTTTGATTTAACATCAGTCTTCGTCACTAGATTTATTTCAGGTGAGTTCTCTTTGCTGAAGGAGGATTGTATCTCTTTTGAACGGACATGTGCAGCCTCATTTGCGAGCGCTTCCTCTTGTGCAATAATAAAAGTTAAATTCTGTCTTGCAAGCAGTCTCCTCTGCAGTGCTTCATCTTGCACCCCACACACAAGCCTATCCCTTAACAAGGATTCTAAGCTGGTACCAAAATTGCAATTTTCAGACAGCCTGCGCAGGTCTGCAATGTACGCTGCAATGCTTTCACCTGGTTTCTGATTTCTTCTATTGAAATGTAAACGCCTCACTGTTTCAGATGGGGTGGGTGCTACATTATTTTTTAACAGTGCCAGTATTTCTTCAAATGAGTAGTCTTGTGGTTTAGCAGGAGATATTGGTGAGCGGACAATATCAAAAGTCTTGGATCCAATAACACTCAGTAACACAGCTCTCTTCTGAATAGCATCAACCACCTTATTAGCTTCCAGGGAAAACACTAACCTGTCAGCATATGAGTCCCATTAGGATGGATTAGCATGATCAAATTCCTCCATGTGTCCTAGAGAGGCAATGCTGGAGATATTTGTAGATAATAGAAAGAAAAGTTTTATTTCCTTTATATATATTCTGCAGTGTCCATTTACTGACATCCCATCCTCGTCGCCAGTTTAAAGTATTAGCATGTTATATATTTACAAATGGCTCTCAGACACGGTAGTAAAATAGGACTTCTCTTTACTTCAGTACACACACATAATGACATAACACAAGAGAGACTGACACAACAGAACAAGTGCATAACTTCACTATGCTGCCATCTACTGGAAGGTGGACTGCATAAACCCCAATACATTACAGTAGTAGTAATCACACTTACAGTGTGATTGGAGCCTTCATTCACTGATAGAATGTTGTTGCAATACTTTTAACATTGAAGGTTCCGGTGCTGGGCAGAATTAAAGATGTGTTTATGATCTCTCTGTCTGATGCAAAATAATTGAATAGAGGCCTAACAAAGAAATATGTAGTGACTGGGTGACAAAATTACAGCAAACCAGAAGAGGTTAAAGAAGTTCTAAACATAATTTTTCCTGATACCTTGTGATTAGACCACTGGCTGTCCGTGAATTGCCCTCTTCTATATTTGTAGATTCCCCAATATAAAATGTGTGTTTCCCCATGTAGTTTTATTTTAAATGTGTAATATGCCTTTTGACCACGCGGTGGTGCTCCGGCGCACGGAGCCTGTGCACCTCCCAAACGAGGACCACCCCGGTGCCCCATTAGAACCTTCCCACCAATTAATCAGAACGTTCGCACTTGCAACATTGGTGTGAAACTGCAAGGGAAGTAATTAATGAGCGCTCTCCTGGGTGGCTACCAGGGGGAGCGTTCGGATCCCAAAGAGGGATGCTTCCCTTGCAGGGGGCTTTGCTCTGGGACTCCGCGGATGGGTCCCTGATGTTGGTAGGGATATCTTCTGGGGTACTGGTGGTCCGGATTACCCTAACCTACTCCTAAAGGAGCCATAATAACTGTTACCTTACCCGGGTCTGCAAGATCAGGATCGTAGCTGCCCAAAGAGCGCTCCCCTCGGGGACTGCCTCAGTGGAAGCGGCCGCCGGAGGAAAGCGTGAGCCCCAGCAAGGACCCTGGGGCTGTGAGTTGGCTTCGCAGCTGCAGAGTCCCCACTGGCCACCTGGAAGTCGGTGCCGACCAATGGGAGAGGGTGCTCCCATTCAAACTGGGTTTGCGCCATTCTCCTGATTGGTCGATGCGAGAAGGAGCACCTTCTAAACGGGGTTTCACGCCCATTCGTCTGATAGGTCGGCGAAACCCCTCTCCTCCCCGAGCACCGATTGGTGCAACCGAGTTTCACGCCCTTTCTTCGTATTGGGTGGCGAAGCTCCTAACCGCCTTGAGCACTGATTGGCGCAATTTGGTTTGCACCTTTTCAGCTGATTGGTTGTTGCTTGGTTTAGGTGCTAAGTTTGAATTCCCCGGACTAAACCAAGCAACTCCATGGAACTAATTTCGGGGTTGTACAGAGCCTCGAGTCCCAGACTTTCAGACGATGATTTCTCTGGCTCTGTACATCCGATAGCCCCGCTATTTGCAGGGATCCTAGATGGGACCCGGGGCTGTCCAGTGATATATGTTTGATAAGTGTCCCCCCTGTATGTACTATGTTTTAATGTGTGTAAATATTGTCCAGTTGGTATCTTCCAGAGCGGGAGATAGTTATCTACTGTAAGCCATCCCTCACCAGCCTGGGACTGACGAATTTGTACTGAATGAAAGGAGACCTCCCCCTATGGGGGTATGTGCATAAAAGAAGCCTGTTTTCAATAACGAGTGTAAGAGATGTACCTCCAGAAATGTGTCTCGTCCAGTTACTGGGGGGGAAAATGGGTCTCTTTGTATTTTAAATGGTTCCTGATCGGCTGAAGGAAGGGAATTAGCGGAGGTAACCGGTCAGGTTACCAGGTGGTCCGCTATACACCTTGACATGCAAGTTGAAATGTTACTTTAAGCACCATGATTTGAAGTGGTCATGGTACCTGGAGTCTGTATGTGTTGCGTTTCCTTATGAAATACTGCACATACAGTATTTAACCCCTGCTGCTGGATGTGTAACTAGAGTACTAACAAAATCGTAAATTATTGTTCATTCATATAACAAATGTGTTACTACAAGTTTTATTCACATACACTAAATCCACTCACAGAATTTGATCTTCAGATTTAGGACAAATCAGCACAAATGCTTAGATCAAGAGAAAGCCCACTGTATGATATGTCATATTCAATATTTCTCCAAAAATGAATCACCCATATTTACCAGTTGTACTTAATTCATGCACCATTTCAACAGAATAATGTGAATCATAATTCTTAGCTTCAAGAGCTACCCACATCAACAAATACTCAGCAATGCAGAAAGTTACCAATTACTTACCTTTGCTGCTCCTAACATCCAGGTGCCAACATGAAAACACAAATACAGTAATGGCCTACCTGAAGCTAGCATAGCTGATTTTGTTATTGATGTGATGTCATAAACTGGCTCTCATGTCATGTCTCATTTTTGCCTTAGCTGTCCATGACAATTCTGTATTTAGCAAGTAAACTCCTCAATGTTTTGTACTTATACATACCTCACAGCTTTCGAAGGTGTACGATCGGGACCAGGTGGGCATGCTTTGGGGGGAGCAGAGCCAAGCTAGGCATGCTTTGGGGGGACTTGCATCACTGGAGATGGTCAAATGGGTAGCCCAACTGAATAAATGACTACAGAAGAGCAGTGGTGTATTTTGGATTTGTGCTGCCCTAGGCATGACTTAATTCAGGCACCCCCCTAATCTAAATTTGCTCCACCAATTTGTGTCAAGGCTACTTTTTTGACTGAAAGACACAAACCCTCACTGATACATGCACTGACATAAACTCACTGACTGATACACAGTCATTGGCGCACACACACACAGTCATTGGCACACACATTGTTTAGCCAACACACACTTTCAACAGACACACTTTGACACACCCACTCACTGACAGACACACATTCTCAGAAACAAATACACTGACACACACTCACAGACACACACATCCTAACTGATTTGACTGACTCTGCCAGGCACACACACATTCACTCACTCACACACACACTGACAGCTAAAAGCACTTACTCACAGACCTACACAAACACACATTCACTGACAGAAACACGCACTGACAGACACTGACTGCTGCAGGGCTGGCTGGGCAGGCTCCTTGCTGGCTTTGCTGGGGCTGCTGTTACTGCAGCCTGGGCTAACTCTGATGGCTGTGCGGGCGCTTTATGGAGGCGGCAAGGGAACGGAGCTATGCTTGCTTAGCTCCCTCCCGCACTTATTAGTGATGCCAGGGGCCGGAGTGACGTCATACTCCGGCTCCCGGCATCACAGAAGGGCGCGCGAGGAAGCAGGAAGTGGTGAGGACAGCACTCCCACAACGCCAGTTTAACACCTCAGGGGGTCTTATGGTTGCCAGCCGGCCAGCTCTCGGTCCCCCCAGGGACATGAGGCTAACAAGGCATTTGCAGCCACCCCCCTTAAAGTGCCGCCCTAGGCAAATGCCTTGTTTTCCTTGTGGTAAATACAGCCCTGCAGAAGAGTGCTGGTAAATACAGCCCTGCAGAAGGGAGCCTTGGCGCTGGAAATAGATAAGTAAAACTTAGATTGTTTTTACATTTTATTGCAAATGGGGGCGGGGCCCTATGTTTAGATGTAGTGAAGGGACCCTAGAGCATTTTAAATACAGGTTTAGTGTTAGGACTACACCTGTATATAGATCTAGGGAAGGGACACTATAGGGTTAGGAATACAGATTTGTGTGTTCCTTTAACTCTCAACTCATCAAGCCTTTCAGGAGTGGACAGCAGCCGAATGAAGGAACACAGGAGATAGATCTGGCAGCCAGGGACCATTGAGACACAGTTGTTATGGTGGTGGGAGTGCTCACTTGTATTATATTTTTTCTTTAATTACCAAGCAGCAGTTTTAGTACCAACAATGTATTTACTTTGTGTTGTTTGCTTTGATGGACAGTATATCAAGTAGCACAAGTTTTTGAAACATGATCTATACCATGGAAGCCCAATAAGTCAATCGTGATCTACCAGTCAATCTTTAATTACACATGGGGCGAGGGGCCGGGCAACACTACCTGATCCTAGAGGAGCGTGAAGGTACACCTTCCTCCAGTGATTCCTGGCAGCGGAAGGATTCCTGGGTGCGAGCGCGGGGGTAGGGCATTGAGGCTGGGGCCAGCAGCAGGGAGCAATTTTTTTTGTTTTTTTTAATCGATACTGTTGTAAGGGTGTGGGCAGGGATTTTGTAGAGGGGAGCAGGGGTTTTGTAAAGTGGGTTACAGGGAGGGGTTTTGTAAAGGGGGGACAGGGGTTTTGTAGAGCGGTGACAAGAGTTTTGTACAGGGGTGACGGGATTTCTAGACAGGGGCATGGGTTTTGTGGAAAGGAGTGATAGGGGTTTTGTAGAAGGGGTGACAGGGATTTTGTAGAGGAGGTGCAGGTTTTTTTTAAGGCAACACAGGGGTTTTGTAAAAGGGGACAGGGGTTTTGTGGAAGGGAGTGACAGGAGTTTTTTAGAAGGGGGTGACAGGAGTTTAGTAAAGGGAGGTCAGAGTTTTTGTAGAAAGGTGAGAGGGGTTTGTAGAGGGGTCAAAGAGGTTTTATATAGGGGGTTAAGGGTTTTGCAGAGGGGGTTGATGGGTTTTGTAAAGAGGTGGCAGGAGTGTTGTAGACAGGTGCATGGGTTTTGTGGAAAGGGATGACAAGGGTTTTGTAGAAGAGGTGACAGTGGTTTTATAGAGGGGGGCATTTGTTTTTTTTTAAAGGGGTGACAGGGTTTCGTAAAGGGGGACAGGGGTTTTGTGGAAGGGTGAAATAGGTTATTAGAGGGGGACAGGGATTTTGTAGAGGGGTGACAGGTGTTTTGTGAAAAGGGTGACAGGGCTTTGTAGAGTTGGAGTAGGGTTTTTTTAGAGGCGGGCAGGGGTTTTGTAAAGAGGGACAGGAGTTTAGGGGTTTTGTGGAAGGGGGGACAGGGGTTTTGTAGAAAGCTGTCAGGTGTTTTGTAGAGGTGTGACAGGTGTTTTGTAGAGGAGAGCACAGGTTTTGTAGAGGGGAGTAGGGGTTTTGTAGAAAGGGGTCACAGGGTTTTTGTTTATTTTATTAGATTAATTTAATACCATGATACATGGAATAGTTGCAGTAAGGATTGTAATGTGTTTTTTTAGTAGGTAGATCTTGTTGAGCTGGTCATATAAAAAGTAGATCATGGCACTACAATGTGTGGACATCCCTGATCTATATGATCTAAGCGGCATGTGTCATGGGGTCACTGATGGTGAAACATGACAGACATTGGAGCACATGTCAACATGTCGCTGTCAGGGAAACGAAAGAAGCGCCAGCCACACATGCCATCTCCAGTAAGACAAGGGGCGGGGCTTAGAGACTCTTATCCCGCCCCTCTCTCCTGATTGGCTGTAGAATGCTAAATACTCTCCTGAGTCAGGCGGGAATTAGCAGGGTGAATTCTTATTGGTGCAGGAGTGGCAGGGAGATAGTATCCGGAAGTGACGTCGCGGCCATCGAATTTCCACCCCTCCCCTTTACCCTTGTTGTCATCGCGCACTGGTTGTTGTCACCTTTTCAAAGCGAGCGGGAGGCGGGCTCTGGGGGGGAGGGGGACAGCGTTGCCCTGGGTAACCCGGGATGTGACGCAGCGTGAGGTCGGCGCGCGCGAGGCAGGCTGGGTATTTAAGGGCCTGGCTGAGCGCGCTCCGGTCATGTGTCCGCCGAGAGGACGCGAGGGAGGGGGCGGTGTCAGTGGCGGCGGGCTGTGGGAGCGGAGAGTCCCGTGGGAGCGCTTGGCTGGCCGCTGGCTGCAGCCGAGGACTCTGCTCGTGGCCGCGCTCTTCGCCCTCGGCGCCTCCGCCGTCTTTTGCTTCCCGCTGCTGTCCGCCTGCGCGCTGTGTGTGAGCGGCTGCTGGGTGTACCGGAGCTCCGGCAGGCGGTTACTGGTCCTCGCCGGCCTCAGGCCTCCCCTGGGCCCAGTGCAGGCTCGCCCTAAACGGCAGAGGCCGTACCCGGCCCGCAGGCTCAGGGATCCGCACTCCTTCAGGTGGAGCCCCGCCGACCTCCTGCTCCTCATGGGGAGCTACCTGGGCAAGCAGGACCCCCCGGCCAGGGGCCAGGTCAGAGGGCCCCGGGACATCAAGGAAAGGCTGGCCAGACCCAACCCGGAGGTGGCCACACCGGCCAGGCGGCTCTCCTTCAGGTGAGGTTACCGGGCCATGCAGTCTGACTGGCAGGGCTGGCATTCAGTAAAGCTCTGTCTGATGTGGGCAGACCCACGTGTTAATATTCTAATATCCTGCTCCCTCAGGATTCTATTTAGAAGTTTACAGTACGATTATTCTTACTATTTCTAAAAACAAAACAAATCCTCTAAACTATAATGGCTGTTAATTTTGCTTCTTAATGGATGGGTGGACAAAAAGTGCAAGATTTCCTGCCTGTTGTAGAACTGAAAACCTCAGGTTGCAGGTAAGCTGTTGTTTAGATGAAACCAAGAGGGCCGCACTCCACCTTTGACATGCATACATTATATGGTGTTGCTGGGGCAAATTATATACAAAATACCTAATCCAGCACACTCGCATATTCACTAAACTACTATTATTATTATATTTATAGAGCGCCGTCAAGTTCCGCAGCGCTTTACAATGATTTCAAATCTCAGATTTAAATAGGTTTATTTAAAAACACTAGGCAAGAAAATGAGGGTTTAGTTACATTACATGATCATATAATGTAACTAAACCCCTATTTTTTTTGCCTAGATGAGGTGTTTTTAAATAAAACTATTAGTCATTGAGATTTGAAGTCATTGTTTAGTGAATAAGCGAGTGCGCTGAATTGTGTATTTTGTAAGCTGCAGTTTAGAACCATGGTTCCCAAACGAGTCTTAATGGCCCACCAGCTATGCAGGATTAATGTTTTGTGTGTATATATGTATATATTTTTTTTTTCATTCTCTATCAATGGAGATATGGATAAAACCTGGACTGTTCATGGATCGTGAGTACTGGTTTTGAGCATGTAGTAGCTGTGTGTATGTATCATGGTGCTATGCACCGTTTTTCTGAGTACACTAGGTGAAGTAGCTCCCATGTTGTCAAGCAAAAAACTGAGATTGACAGGTCTGCTTTAAAGGGTAACTCTAGGGATCAAAACCACTGCAGCAGTGGTAGACCACGTTTGGAACTACAGATGTGGGCTAAATCTTTCATAATACTGGCATACGTATCGAGGTAGATGTAGTCCACAACATCTGGAGTCCTGCAAGTTGGTTAGCTCTGCACTACAGAATGCTCTAGAGCCTGATGTAATGTGGCCCTGAGGCAAATCTGCCAATATTTTCAGTCTATTCTGTGGTTTGGCACAACCTCGGGCACACTGGTTGCCACTTCTACCTCAGTGACAGATGGAAACTCCGCTTTAAACAAAGCCCAGGGTTTAGCTTATTGGCTGAGAGCAATAAACAATGGTCTGTTCCATTAGTGTAGGGATTGACTGAGGTAAGTTAAACTGGTGGCAAATGGTTTGACTATGTACACTTTAGGTTGGGAGCTCTTGACACCATAACCACAGGAGCATGCTGCAGTGGTTGTGTGGAGTTTTCCTTTAAGCTGGATTGACAAAATGGACATTCTTACTACTTTATTAACATACTTACCTGTTTTAAGCAGTATTGATTGACTGAGAGCTTTCGCACTTTGCCACTCAATGTTCAAATCTGACATGAATTGGTATGAATGCTGTCAGATCAGGACAGGAGATGTCACAGCAAAGTGTCAAACTATTTGTAAATGATTTGACATTACTGGTGGACATGTCCTTGGGTAGGTCTGCTCCCTGGAGGCCCTTTTAAAGGAAAACTCTAAGCACCTTAATTACTACAGTGCACTGTAGTGATTGATACCCTGGTGCATACTATACTAGAAGTACTCAAGCCATTTTCTTTTATTTTTGAACAATTGTTACCAGAGGTCTGCTTTGGACCAATCCGCAGCCTTCCCTACCTCACCCAGGGAGCCTGACTTAGCTCCGGTAAAGAGCTTCTGACCTTTCAAGACCAATGTAGTGGAGGCAGGGAACAGCACCTGGAAGATCCCAATTAAGAAGTTCAGTTCTTAAACTATTTGTTTATGTGGGGGCACCATTGAATGTCTTACACCATAACCACTACAGTCAGTTGTAATGCTATGATGCTTGAAGTGTTCCTTTAAACCAGTGGTTCTCAACCTGGGGGTCAAACGACCGTTTCACAGGGGTCACCTAAGACCATCGGAAAACGCATATTTCCAATGGTCTTAGGAATCGAGACACCGCTCCTCTGTACTATAGGGCAGTGATGGTGAACCTATGGCACTAAAGCGTTCCTCAGAATGGCATAATAATAGCAACCCAGAGAATAACCAGAATTTAGCTAGTTTTGGTGCATAGGTCCGAAGTGCCCATAGATGCACCTACCAATACTGTAACAAATCTATGCTCAAGATCGTATAGCACTGACTAAGAGTTAAAAATTATGTGCCAATAGATTTGACTTTATACTGGGATATTTCATTTTAAAGTTTAAACCATCTCAAAAAATGTTATGGCTGTGTTCCTTCACATTTTGATAGGTGCTATTTTGTACTTTGGTTACAAATGTTACTGTAAGTGATGAACATGCTTCATTCCTTTGATACATTGTCTCCACTTGACTAGTTCAGTAGCGTTACTGCAACTTTGTACCTCATTTGTTTATCAGCTTTCTACCTAGCCTATCTGTGGGAACATTTGAATAGTTACACCACCAGACACCACAGCTTATCCTAGGTTATACTTTATACTAGCTGTCTTTTCCTTGTTTGTAGGAAACTCCCTAGCCGAGACAAATTACTAGAGGTTCACTGTAAATATTGTGTATATATTTTTCCTTATCTCCTTTATTCAGCCACATAGCCATTATTCATATAATGTAACTAAATCCCCATTATTTTTTGCCTAGATTAGGTGGTTTTTAAAAAGGTTAAAAAACCTTTAGAAAAAAACTTTTTAAAGAAACTAATAAAATCTGTCAACATTGAAGTTGCTGTTTAGTAGATAGTGCGCTGGATCTTGTGTATTGTTTATTGTACCAGGTGCACTCTTAAGATCTGTAATGCAAATGAGTAGCTTCCTGGTTGCTCCACTCATTGGTTTGTGAAGAATCATTGACTTCTGCAGTGTGCATCTGATCAGTGAACGCTTCTGGAAGAAATTGCAGGAGGTCACGTGAGGGATTTTCTGTCCTAAATCACTAAGCGGATTGTTTTGCAAATAACATGGCTTGTTGTGGGACTTGGATTGTCGTTTTCAACATTATCATTCAGCTAATTAATGCTGTCAGTTGCACTGTTTATGTATCTTTTTAACTTTCCCTTTTCTATTTTAGGGAAACGCCGGTGCATAATCGTGCTTACATGAGTCCGCGGCGACATTATCCAACTCACCAGCCTCAATATAGCATGACTGGCTCACTTCCTATGGTATTTATGGATGGACATCAAGAAAAGACTGTTGTGTCACCTAAAAAATATATGCTGCGTAGCCCTGTTACTGTACGAATACCACCTGCAGACAAAAGCACTGCGTACTCTTTGTAAGTGTTGGTGGACTTTTTTGCTCACAACTGTTTCATACAAGAAATAATGTGCATCACTTCACTGTATAATTTCTTGTTCCAGCCTTGATAACGTGCCTCCTCGGTGTCCAGTCTCTCCTACTCGCTGCGCTCCAGATCCTTGTGCAAAGGAGACTGTGTTGAGTGCCATCAAAGAGTCTCGAAAAAGGCTAAACAAAGATGAAGAGAATGCTTTATTTGGAGACTTGGATAGTAAGAGGAGGTTAGTTTTTGTTCCCTCTATGAACTAGCTTCTTGTATGTTTAGGTTTCAACTGATGTATTGTCTAAGTCAGGGCTCAAGATTTCCAATGGCTTGCAAGTAGAAATTTAATAGATTTAGACCAGAGTACACCAACATCTGTAAAGACCCTGTCATCCAAAAAAGATGCATTATGTAAAAGTAAACTGAAAGTGTTCTCTCTTTGAGACTGTCTTTATAGTTTCATTAGTTGGAGAATATTTGGCTTAGACCCTGGCAAAAGTCTTGTTTGATGGAAATTATATGTAGCACCTCTGCTTTCACAGTAATATTGGCTTTATAATGTGTAATCTATATATTAAGATTTTTTTTTTAATCTACTCGATGCATACTTACAAAAACATTATATTCAAGGATATAATCTTTCAATGGGTAGGGTAATAACTGCTTGATCCAAGGATAAATCTGACTGCCATTCTGGGGTCAAGAAGGATTTTCTTTTCCTAGCTTTTTGCAAAATTGTGCTTCAGATTGTTTAGTGTTTTTTTTTTTTTTTTTTTTTTTTTGCCTTCTTTTGGATCAACAGCAAAAACAAATTTGAGGAAGGCTGAACTTGATGGATGCAAGTCTCTTTTCAGCTATGTAACTATGTAATCTATCTATTCAGGAGATATGGAAGTGGTCCGCCACTTGAACCACCTGTAGCCAACGGACTGCTCTCTTCATTTGCTGCAAAGTAAGTAATGAGTTCTGTAGCCCTGGGATTTACTGCTCAATTGTACAGCATGCAAGTCTTGTCATGGCTCAAGCTTCTAAATTCCTTTTAATACAGCTTTCAAAATCTCTAGTCTGCCTGTCAAATTAAACTTACTCATTGTGTCAGCACAGTGTAACTTAAAGGCTTATAACTAAACATTGTAATCACTTTACAATTGGCCTTCATGCTGTAAGCGATATTCTCCCTATATTTACAGTTATTGCTAGAGGGGAAATGTAAGCTCTACAATACTGTAGTGGCTATGTCAACAGTCCCCTAGTGATATTCCCCAGCAAGGACTAAAATGGTTTGACACTCCTGGCACCAGTTGTCCTCCTGGTCTTCTGCTTTAGCAGTATTGCACACTGTATCATTCACTGTCTGAAAGTGCCAGTTCTGAGCACTTGGTGGCTGTCTTAGTGGTCACAAGCTGAGTGCATTTGAGATTAAAGGGACATGCATCACTTAAAGGGACACTATAGTCGCCAGAACTACAGCTTATTGAATTTGTTCTGGTGTGTAGAATCAATACCGTCAGGCTTTTTGCTGTAAACACTTTTTTTTCAGTGAAAATGCTGCGTTTACATTACAGCCTAGTGATAACTTCACTGGCCACTCATCAGCTGTTAGAGATGCTTCCTGGGTCATGGCTGACTAAAATGCATCCAAACATTCAGTGTCTCCTCCCTCTGCATGCAGACACTGAACTTTCCTCATAGATTCATTGATTCAATTCATCTCTGAGGAGATGCTGATTGGCCAGGGCTGTGTTTGAATAATGCTGGTTCTGCCCCAGATCTGCCTCTGTCAGTCTCAGCCAATCCTATGCGGAAGCACTGTGATTGGATCAGGCTACCACTTCTGTTGTCAGCAGACTGCTGTTTTTTTTGAGGCAAACAGCATGCAGATCTACAGCTTCTGGCTTGAATACAGTAAGATGTTGTTATATTTATGGAGGCATGAGGGGCCCAGGGGGGCTAGATGGTGGTTACACCATAGGGTCAGGAATACATGTGTGTTCCTGGCCCTCTAGTGATCCTTTAAAGACCACTGTTTCATTCAAATGTTTGATAGTTGCCTCACTCTGCAGGCTGAGAAAAATCAGTAAATATGGAAAAAAGCTTACTACTTTTTCCTTATGCCTTTCACACCTATTTCAGTGGGAGCTGAACTAGCCATTCAGTGTCCTATCCTAGGATTTGGAAAACGTGTATTGGGCATGCCTGACAGATTTACACATGTGCCCTTAGAGCTTTATCTTGCAACCTCCTGACTGTCAGAATAGCGGTGTGTGTGTGTGATCATGCAGAGCAGGCTCTGGGGTCTGGTTTCTCTCATTATGCTACAATGATGCCCGGTTTCTGTCCTTATTGGACTGTTCTGAAACTAAGCTTTGTGGGTAAGCGTAAGCCTAAAGGAACTCGCCAAGCCGAGAATTGTGTATCCACAAATGCATCCTGACAAAGTTCATAAATGTTAATTACATAGATTTTCTTGCTTTATCTTGGTTTGTATATTTACCGTATATATCGGAGTATAAGCAGAGGTTTTTCAGCACACTTTTTGTGCTGAAAACCCCCCTCTGCTTATACTCGAGTCAATGTCTGTATTATGGCAACTTGCATTGTCCTGTTGGGGGCTGGCAGCAAGCTGTTACTCACCTCCCTTCTCTGTCAGCTCCGTTCTGCTCCCAGTGTAAATCTCGCAAAACACCTGCAGCCATCAGAGCATTGCCGCAGGTTACTGTGGCAACGCTCCGCATGGCACACAGACCGCGAGGTTTACACTGGGAGCAGAACGGAGCTGACTGGAACTGCACGGAGGAGAAGGTAGCTGACAGGAGCTGCAGGAAGGTAAGTAACTGCTCACTGCCAGCCCCCCCAACTGCACATCCCATCCACTGGACCACCAGGGATTCACATAGCCTCCCTCCCTGGCCAGGCAACAAGCAGGGAGGGGGGACAAAAATAAAATTAAAATACAATTATTAAAATAAAATAGTGCCCTCTCCTCACCCAGTTTACACACTGCATTATATATACACACTGCATTATATATACACACTGCATTATATATACACACTGCATTATATATACACACTGCATTATATAATTCAATTAATGTAATTTTATTTAGAAATTTACCTGTAGCTGCTGAATTTCCCACCCTTGGCTTATACTAGAGTCAGTAAGTTTTCCCACTTTTTTTTTGTGGTAAAATTAGGGGCCTCTAATATTCGGGTCGACTTATACTCTAGTATATACACTGTAAATGTGTATGGCTTAATGTGTTGCATGTTCCTCTAACAGAATAACCAGCAAAACTGTAGCACCTGCAGGGAAAAAAGGCTGCATCTTCTGTATTTCATTTAAAAAAAAAATCTACTTGCATAATTTCTTTACTTTTTTTTTTTTTCTTAACACTCACTCCTTTAGGGATATACCTGACCGTGCTTATGTGAATCGGCGTTACCCAATTCACCAACCACAGTATAGTAAGGTTGGATCCCTTCCTTTGGTGTCTTTGGATGGATATCAAAAGAAGCCTGTTCTGTCACCTAAAAATGCATACCGACCTGGTATTGTAAGAATACCCCCTCCAGACAAAAACATTGCTAACGTGTGAGTAATTTTGTCAGGTATTTCTTTGATTATGATTTAATATATAAATATTGCAGCTTCCTTTCTTATGTAGTTGTGGTATTCATTTTTTTTTTTTTTTTTTCAGGATCAAAAACATGCATTGTAGTTCAATGTCTCTGCCTCACAGATCTCCAGATCCTTGTGCAAAGGAAACTGTACTGAATGCCCTGAAAGAGTGCCGGAAAAGACTAAACAAAGATGACGACTGTACTATAGTTGGTGATCTTGATAACAAGAGGAGGTTGGTTCTTTCTTGCACTGGACTGACTTCTTTGAAGTTTCTGTATTGATTAATGCAGCCCTCAAACAAGTGATAGGAAATACATCAAATCTTCAGATGTTGTGGACTAAATCTTCCCTAAAGCTTTGTCAGCATTATGGGAGATGAAGTTCACAACGATACAGCTTTGGGGGAGAAGGTTAATTAAAGATTCTGCATATCCAAAACCTGGAAATGTATTGTATTTTAAAGTAACCTTTTATAATTGCCATTTTATTTTGTCAGGAGACATGGAGGTGATCCAACTTCTGAACCACCTGAAGCCAATGGACTCCAGGCTACTTCTGTTTTCAAGTAGGTATTGATACGGATATAAAGTTACCCGTAGATATGTTCAGGTTAAACCAAATTATGTTCGAGCCGCTCTGTGTAGCAATCAAATCAGACCAGGCACTTTGTGATTCAAAGATTACTTCCTCTTTTATTGCAAGAGCTTTCAGACTATGTAGTACTTTGTAAAACAGCATTGTGACTTGCGCAACAAAAACATGCTTGAAGTCACTGTGTACCATAAAATTGATTTACAGAACTAGGCATATTTCAAGAGTATCTCAAAGGTTTCTATTCCAATTACCACCACCAGGCTACCAATAGATGGGCCTATCTTTAGATTACTCAGCAATCTACTCTATGAATCCCCACTGGCACACCACAACAAACTTTCATCTCAGACACTATCCATTACGTATTAAATTCCAAGCGTGTGTGTATGTATGCGTGTATAATTTAGGATATAAGAAGTGGGGCTGGGGCTGAAGCTGCAATAGTCTCCTCAGAAACCACAATGTCACAAGTCATGAATTTATGCTTACTTGTCAGACACTGAAACTAGACTAAAAGTTCAAAGCATAACGAAGTAAAAACAGACTGGACATCAGCTCATTTGTAGCTTGAGCCTGGGGTCAAGGTGCCTTCCATCACAGTATCTGTTTGCATCTGCTGTGAAACGTAGTGCTCAATTGTAGAGCACATGGGCTTTAGGATGTACTTGTTTCTATCTTTGGGTTTTGACTGTTGCTGTTTGATCTTCACACAAATTAATGGAAACTTGGCATTGAACTTCTTGGTTCAAGTCCTACTTGGTCAAAAGTAACACCGTATAAGGATACTGGTTATGGCTTGTATCATACCTGATTTATTGGACAATGATAAAATATTAAGTTGTAAAGCTGTAACTTTAATCTCTTGCATAATAAAGAGATTTTCAAAAATAAGTCTTACTTGGTCAAAAATCACTCATTCTGGTATGCACCAACTTCTATTTCTGTGGCGCAGATGCATTATTGTAACAGCCATGAAAGACTCTGTACTAGGCATGAACATTTCAATAATCTGCCCTAGTACCCCTGTTTAAAAACGAATTGAAAGGGGTTCTATGCTGGATGAATAAATGTTGGTTATACTTTGTTCTGATTGGTTGTACTGACACTAAACTTATGTGCAAGTAAAAACAAAAGGCTGGTGGGGCTACCTTATAACAGTTTTAGCTCTACTGCGTCATTTATCATGTACAAATGAGCACAGTGACTACATTATCTGTAATGACTTTGCTGTGTCAAAAAAAATTGTTTTATAGAAACACGACTCTTGTCTTGCCAGGTCAGACAACCTGAAGAGAGGACAGAGTATGCAGAGTTTTGATGAAGATCCCAGTAAACGTTCCCGGACGTCTTCAAGCAGTTCTGTGACCAGCAATACAATGAACGGCATTCAGCTGTCTGCGCATAATGCCATCACAAGTTCCTACAGTTCCAGCAAAAAGCTGTTGAAGGTAAGTTGACTGAGAAACTCATGTAGATGGGCTTTCATAATTTTCTAAGATTATACCTTATAAAAGACATGAACACCTGTATGATCACTTTTCCAAACCCTGCTTAAGACTAAATTAAAATTATAGTCGTACTATAGTGACCTTTAAAAGGTGCAGTCTAAGCACAAACCCTAGACATGTCTTTTGTAGTGCTTATAGTGATGGTAGACTGTATTTTCTGTCTGTTTCTAGGCCATTTTTTGTCTTTTAATTGTTTTATCAAATCAGGGTGTTCCTGAATTTTTTACATGACCCTCAGGTCTTGGTTAAACCATATTTAAAAATAAAAGCTTTCAAATCTCTTGCCTAGAACAAAAGCATGGTTCCTGCAGCCTATTGGCATCACAGCCACGACAAGGGCATGTCTGATGCTTAGACTGCCCCTTGTAAACTGTAAAAGGTGTGTATTACAAACATTATGATTTATTTTTGGTGTCTCTTAACCTTTCAGGAAAGGATGGCTTTACTGAATAAATCTGCATCCAGTTCTTCTTCCAGATGCCAGACGCCAGAGTGGCCCATTAAGAAGGGAAGGTATGAAACCAAATGTTTCAGAATATATTATCAAATGCACTCAATTCTGGTATACAGTAGTTATTCAATAACCTAATACACAATTACATTTTTGTCCTAGTTCTGTTAATGAATACACTTTTTTTTGCGCAATGTCTTTAGCAATAACACTTAGTAATGTAGGCCAATTTTTTGCTGATAACCATTATTTGAAAATGTTATAAATGACTAGTATTGCAGACAAACTAACAACTTAATGAGTTCACTTATTCCTCTCACACCTTTTTTATTTCCAGGCAAGATCTGCATACCAAAAGCCCAGTAACTCCACTAAAATCCAACAGCAGGTTGAACTCATCTGGACAATGTAAGTCTGCTTTTGCACTTTACAGCTTGGAAGAGCTGCTATTTTCCTCTATGGATTCGCAGCTCTGTATTTTGCTTACATTGTGCACATTGAGATCAAGGTAGTACCACGCAGGACCACAATGCATGTACTAATGGCAAAGTAGGGGGCTATCCTGTCCTTTTTATGCTTTTGATTTTTTTTCATTACTAGATAAATGGTACTTTTACCATTGGATGTGAGCCCTGGATGTAGAGGGCAAACCTGGAATTAATGTCCTAAAATGAAAGTCTTAGTGGAAGAAATATTTCAGAAAAGTACCTAGTCAAACCTTTCCCAGTGTCAGTGGTCACTGAAAGACCTCTTATTCCCAAGAATAGTTACGGTCTATAAATACAATCATAGCAGAAAGTTCAGTGTCTTAGAACTGTGTAACTTATGTCAGCCACTGGCTCCAATTAGTCTGCACAGCCTGGCTCACTGTTCTGTGAACTGAATTGTCTTTGCATCAGCTCTCTCAATGCACAGCATTCATACACCTAATACTGACACTTGTGTGCTCACGGTGCTTGGAGCATCAAACGCTGCAGTATTGCAAACGGCAGGTACCCTTTAATCTAAAGTCGGGTCCAAAACCTGGTCAAGATTAAAGTGAGGTAAGGTAGGTTTTGTCTCTTGTGTAATGTTTGTTTTAAAAAAAAAAAAAAAAAAAATGTGCTTGGTACATCAATTTAATGTTTTCTCCCTAGTTACTGATACACCAGTCTCAAAAGGATTATCCACCATAAGTACATCTCCCACTGGCAATGTTGTTGCTGGAAGAAGAAGCAAAGTTTTGCTGACTTGCCCGGAAAGGAACGAGCCATACCATCTGGTAGGTGCTTGGAGAGTTACAGATGCTAAAATGATCAGGCTAGCAGAGTTCTGAATCATGACAAACTGCTCAATCATATTGAGCATTCTGTGCTAAAGGTTTAAATCAATAACAAGCACTCTAATATTTATATACAGCCTCCAGCACCTATTGTGGGATATGAAGTGACTACAGAAGATTATGATGCTGAGAAGAAAGCTGCTTTACAGAGGTTGCACAGGGCATTGGAAGGTACATAATGAAAAAAAAAAATTTCTTATATATTTAACCCCTTAAGGACAGAGCCAAGTGTACACGTTGTGAACAAAACAAAATGTAAACAAAACCTTGCATTTGCGCTAAATGTCTGTCCAACCGTAATTCATCTCTTTCATAGTAAATGCACCCACCCTTATTATATATCACTTTATTCAGGGGAACCAGGGCTTTCATTTAATATCAAATATTTAGCTATGAAACATAATTTAATATGAAAAAAATGTGAGAAAATACGATTTTTTTTATTTATTTTTTTTTTTTTTACTTCTACATGACATTTTAACAGTCAATGTCATAATACAGTTTGCTTTTACTACAATAAAATACACATTTGTATTCAGTAACGTCTCACGTGTAAGACAGTACCCCCTATGTACAGGTTTTATGGCGTTTTGGGAAGTTACAGGGTCAAATATAGCACGTTACATTTGAATTTGAAATTTGCCAGATTGGTTATGTTGCCTTTGAGACTTTATAGTAGCCCAGGAATGAAATTTACATCCATAATGGCATACCATTTGCAATAGTAGACAACGCAAGGTATTGCAAATGGGGTATGTCCAGTCTTTTTTTAGTAGCCATTTGGTCACAAACACTGGCCAAAGTTAGCGTTGGTATTTGTGTGTGAAAAATGCAAAAAACGCCAATTTTGGCCAGTGTTTGTAACTAAGTGGCTACTAAAAAAGACTGGACATACCCTGTTTGCAATACCTTGGGTTGTCTACTATTGAAAATAGTATGCCATCATAGGGGTAATTTTCCATAGGGTCTCAAAGGCAACGTAACCAATGTGGCGAATTTTAATGTGAAAAAAAATCAAACGCAAGCCTTATATTTGACGCTGTAACTTTTGAAAACACCATAAAACCTGTACATGAGGGGTACTGTTGTACTCGGGAGACTTCACTGAACACAAATATTTGTGTTTCAAAACAGTAAAAAGTATCGCAGCAATAATATCGTCCGTGTAAGTGCTGTTTGTGCGTGAAAAATGCTAAAAAGTCACTTTTACTGGCGATATCATCGTAATACATTTTACTGTTTTAAAACACTAATATTTGTGCTCAGCGAAGTCTCCCGAGTAGAACAGTACCCCCTATGTACAGGTTTTATGGTGTCTTGGAAAGTTACAGGGTTAAATATAGTGCTAGCAAATTAAATTCCCTATACTTTCGGCATGGGTTGTCAGGCAGGTCCCGCTAATTGTAATTAAGATACCGAATTATGTAAAAATTACATAAAAATATATGCAGAATTAATATGTGTATATATATCTATATAATTTTTTAAAATATTTTTATTTATATATAGGTATATAGTGATATACATATATATTTATGTATATAGATATATATTTCATTCTACGTGTATTTTGATATATATTAATTTCACAATACAGTTAGAACGAAATAACACACCTATATATTTTATTAATTATTTTTAATTTTATTTTTTAACGTATTTACATATTTTTTTATATTATATATAAATATATAACAATAATTATATATAATTAGTATCAGTCTATGTGTAATTTGATAATATATATAATTATATATTAATAGTAAAATACACCTAGACGGTGTCTGTCTGTCTCATGACCGTCTCAGTAGGAAAAGACCAGAGGGCGTACTATTACGCCCGGCGGCGTTTAGAGCCGCTTAGAATAGGGCGTAATAGTACGCCCTCCGGTCTTAAGGGGTTAAAAAAAATTGTGTGTGTGTATATGTGTGTGTGTGTGTGTGTGTGTATATTTATAATTTTTTTTTTTTTAATTCTAGATCTGGTTCCAACCACTTCAGCACCATCAAGTATTGCTTCCTCTGTCTTCACTCTGCCAACTACAGCATCGTCAACCTTTCAACAAGCATCTGTTGCTAGTAACAGTTCTCTAATGCAGAGTCTGGCTAAGATGCAAGAAAAGGAAAAGTCTCCAGGTGAGACATCTGGAAGTGTTTACACATGAGCATGTATGGTGTATATTGGCATTTGTTTGAAAGTGGGACATTCTGAGGAGAGATGGGTTGGTGTGTTTATATTTTTTGCTTTGTTTTTTTTTTTTTGTTTATTGGCTCTGTCACCATCTGGGGTCTTTGTATATTTTGTGAAGACTGATGGTATCATCCACAATTGGTGTGCGGGGGCCCATGGCTGCACCAGAGATGAGCCATATTAAATCTTCAGTTATTGCCACTTCATTAGCAAGGAGCACATTCCGATCCAGTATTCTCGTACATTCTTGAGTACAACAGTCTATGGAGGATCCCATGACACCACAGCAGTCTCAATAGATATTCTTTTGCAGTGAGTGAGTGCCTTATTGCCACAGTTCGCAAAGGCTGTGGAAAGTGACAAAAGGTTTTGTGGCTTAAACATAAGACAAAGTAGTCCCTGCTTTTTTGTCTTTTGACTCCACTGGAATTTCATTGAGATCCAGCAGTCTTTATGTTCATTTTGTACAACTTTATGAAATATTTAAATTAAATTTTTTTGGGGGTAGTTGATGACACTCTTAATCTTGTGAGGGAGTGATCACTAGCTAAAGCCTAATGTTACAAAACTGACTATTTTGGCTTCCTGTTAAGATATTTATATTTTATTTTTATTTTTTTTTCTTAGCGCTTGGAGCAACTGCACAGAGCACAGCTGAAGTGGCTACCACTGTCTCAAAAGTCTCAAATTTAACCTTTGCTTTTGCGGCCAACTCTAGTTCTTCTGGCCTGCAATCTGCCATATCTAACACAACACCTAATCTTGTTACTCCTGCGGTCACCTCAATCAGCACCCCTGTTTTCCCTCAGCCGCTGGGAACAACCCATATGAAGCCTCAATCTCCAAAAAATGGTCTTCTCCTCCAGATGCTCAGTAAACCAGAGGATAATGCCCAGACAGCTTTTAAACCAATCTTTGGTGCTCCACCATCTGAAAACTCAATTTCATTGGCTGCTACTCCTGTATTACCTGTCAGTACAGTAGCTTCAGCCACATTCAAACCTGTATTTGGCAATAATCTTGAGCAACAGACTCCAGCCTCCGAAACTACATTCAAACCAATTTTTGGGGCGAGTGGCACTCAGCCTCCTGCTTCTTCTGCACCATTTTCATTCCAGATGGCATCCAAATCGAGTACTTCAACTCCAGCCTTTCCTGGTATCAGTGTCACTGATAATGCACCCAAAACCACACCTGTACTCTCTGCCCACATTACAACAACCACAAATTCTAGTACAGGATCTGCATTTCAGTTTGGAGCAGCTTCCCAGTGCCCAACTACATCAAGTGCTGCTGCAGTGCTAGGTAGCAACAGTAATAAAGTCTCCCAGGCAAAGCCTGCCATTTCATTTGGCCAAACTGCTGCTAACGCTCAGAACAGTGGCTTTACTGGTTTTGGCAGTGCATCAGCTGCATCAACAACTCAACCTAAACCATCCACTGCTTTTGGGTCTACCACCTCTGCTTTTACTGCCACGTTTGGTTCAAACAATTCTTTCCCTGGTAATAGTGGCACACCTGCCTTTACCAGTGGTGCTGTCAGTGAAGCACCAGCAAGCAAATCTACAACCACACCTATCCCCAACTTTGGATCAGGAACTCCTGCTTTTGGGTCAAGCACGCAGCCTGGCTTTGCCAGTAATGTGCAGCCAGCATTTGGGGCTAGTGTTCAACCAACATTTGGGACTACAAACACGACTTTCAGTTTTGGCAATTCTGCCCCAGCAGCAACAAAAGCCACTACATTTGGCAGTATAAGCAACAGCCAAACCAGTAGCAGCACACCCAGTACAAATATGTTTGCAGGTGCATCTTCTACACCATTCTCTTTTGGTGTGGCTTCAAACAGTGCAGCGTCTTTTGGTAGTGGGAGTCAAAGTGCAAATACAGCTGGAAACACTGGCTTTAACTTTGGAGCAGCATCAACTGCAGCACCTGCTGCATCATTTGGTAGTTCAAATGCAACACAGAACAGCACTGGCACTCCAGCCCAAAACTCTACCTTTGCGTTTGGGACCCCGGGGGCAACAGAGATCAAGTCCTCTTTTGGTGAGTATGAATTTCATAATAGTTCTAACTCCTTTTGCCATTTTTCTTCTGTAATCTGGAGAGAGGATGGGCAGAATGTTTGTTTGTATATGTATCATTCAATGGCTCTGCTGCAGGCTCTCTGTTAATTGCTGGAGTGTGTGCGCTGGGCTTAATGGTGGCATGCCAAGGTTGCAAGTCATTCCACCATGACTGAGGAATGCATCAATTGTGGTGCTTGTGTTAAAGCAGGAAATCTGCAGATATAAATCGTAACACATGGAGTACTTGGAATATGACAAATGGCAATTGCCTTAAAAAGGAGGGACATCATGATAACTTGTGTTGTGAGGACTGATATCTAGTTTACCTGAACTATTAGAATGTAGGTAATTTTGGCGTTCAGGATTATTCTTTGTTTGAGAGGTCTGCTCATTTAAACCCTGCCACCACATGTATGCTAGGTAAAGGCTAGAAGGTCAACAAGATTTCCTGACTGCATTAGACTTGGTCAATGCCCAATCTTCTCACTAATGCAAGAGTGATGAGTGGGGGGAGAAGGATATGCTGGTTCCCAGCAGAACTCTAAACCTGGGTGGAGCTTCATGCTCCCTTCTGTTCCTTGTATAGAAACATCTTGTGAATGGAACAGCTATTGGATATGACTAGATGCCATAGACCAGAATGATACAGAAGGAAATGGTCACATGTAAACAACCTTGTCTGTCATAGCACACCTGTAAATCCAAGGAGAGAAAAATAAGTAAACCTAAATGAGAACAGACAACCACTCCATTAGCTTGCCCTTCGGTGGGTGCACGCTAAGATCTCAAGATGGTTTTAGCTCAACTTGTGCCATAACAGAACATATCTGAAGCATATTAGACTGGTTCCAACCGTATGGGCAGTCCAAAATGCCAGCAAGTTCACTCTGCACGAGTACCACCTGTAAATCCATTCACTACATAATATGCACCATGATGATCACATTATTTTAATCTATCTTTTTTTTTTTTTCCTCCTCCCATTTAGGTACATCCACTCCAGCATTTGGCCAGACTACCCCTACAGCTGGTTTAACTTTTGGGAGTCCAGCTCCAGGATTTCCAAATGCTAGTCCCTCATTTAGTGAGTATTATGTGGCTTTGCAGTTGTAATATTTACTCTTCTAGATATATAGATATATCTCTTGTTCATGTAATTCAGTTGTTGACTTGCTGAAGGTTCGCCAAGCAGTTGTCTGCTGAAAGGCATTGTTGCAGTAATCTAATAGACATTAAGCATGCTATAAATTATAAACAGTCTTTATCTGCCAATAGACCCTCCCGTATCAAGCTCTTGCCTTTAACATGTATCCAACATTATACAATTATTACTCTTAAGGGGTATCTAAGTACCAGCATGGTGGCTCTTCTAGGAACACCTAATAGGCTGACTGCTGTTTAACATCCTGTAATTTAATTTATGGTTCCTCACATTCTTTCTCATCTCTTCATAGGTCCTGCTACCCCTTCCTTCTCTATTGGTGCTGGTTCAAAACCTACAGGTGTTCGTCAGCGACTCATGGCCCGCCGTCAACATGCTCGGAAGAAATAGATGACATTGCGCTTATCCTCACCCATGGTCTTGTTCCTCCCAGTATTGGCTTGCTCTGTGGACATATGCACTATCTGCCCATATATAATTAACAAAGGGACTGATGCAAACCGCCACACAGCAGAACTTGCTGCCCAATAAGTTTAACATTTTCAGGCAGGATTGTGACATTACCAGGGAGTGTTATGTGTGGAGTAGAAGAACTTTTTCTACATACTGCCAAATTTGACTTTGAGACCTGCCTCCTTTGAGGTATACCTGGTTTAATTGTGCAATTTCAAATGTTAGAACTTGCAGATTATGGCTGGAAATAAGCCTTGAGAAAGCTGCCCATGCACTTTCCAATTGACGGTTTACTGTAATACCACAAATTATACCACAAAAATATTCTCATGTCTTTTTAGACTTCTGTATCACCCTATCCTATTTCTCAGTTTTTCTGCTACTTTTTTAGAGCCAGAATAGTACATATCCAATTGTTTTTACTGCCACTGTAACTGTGGGAGTTGGAGCAAATACACCACTGTACACCTTTCCTCATTCTACAGTGAGAACATTTAGACGTCTGCAATGAATGTTTGTTCCTCTTACTAGACAGGCTCTGCTTTGTCAAAAGTGGGGGAAAGCCCTTTTGCACTTAATGGTGTGGTGCTTGATGCAATTGTTGCTCTCCTTCATTGTTTTACCTGTCTATGAACTTTTGTGCAGAGGTATCTGCATAAACTTGACTATGGCAACAAATAGTAAAATACTGGGATCCCATACAGCTCGAATAAAAAGCTGCATATGACTTTTTTTTTTTTTTTATTAACTTGTAAAGTTTGTATTCCCTTACAAACAAAAAAGTCCACAATCAGCACTACTCTAGACCTCTGTGCATAGTTCCTATAAAATGTTTTTTTTTTTTTGTTTTTTTTTTTGAAGACCGGTTAAACCTGGGATCTGTTATCCTAACTTTTTCCAGAGGAGCAAATTTGTTTTAAGGCGCAATGATGAGAGTGAAATATGAATGTCAAGATGGCACGAGTGATCTATGTAACTTGTCAGTTTTATCTGTGTTGTAAAAATTGTATTTGTAAGCTACCTCGAAGAGCAAAACTGAGATGGATGATAATGAAGCATGTTGGAACACTTGAGACTGTATAGCAAATTATATGGTAGAAGTGTTTGGAGTAAATGATCAATTGTGACAAAGTACAGATCTAAAGAAAGTCTATTGAGGTGTTTTTTTTAGTTTTTATTGCCCCCACTATTTATGCTGCAGGAGTGAGACTACTACTGATGGGTTTAGTCACAAACTAGTAAGATGTGGTTAAGATGCAACCAAACATAACTTCTTAGCTACTCTGTACCCTATTCAGTTTACAGCTTTTGTGTATAAACCCCCCAAAGTCAATCGATGGGTTGCATGGATAATTGGATTGTGAATGCCTATTGGCATATGTTGGTAACTTAGCGTATTGCAGCATGCGCAGGGATTCTTAATGTAAAATTACGTCCATATACTGCCAACTCGCAGCAATATGCATCAACAAAATGGTTTGGATGGCTTTATGTACATTTAGTGAATGCGCATTGTATTTCTGAAGACTGGCTGAGTTGGTTTGGGAGGTTTTTTGTTTTTTTTGAAAACTTTTTATATATTTTGTCTTGTCTTACGTTTTTTGATTTTAAATAAAACAAACAAATGTATATTTGCCTTTTGTGTTTTTTTTATTTTTTTTTTTATTTAACTTGGGTAGGTGGTTCTTTGTTAAAGTTCTCCAACCCTGAAACTGGGCTACTTGTAATTTCTGTGTTTTGTTGCTCAGTCAGTCTTTCTGTAGGACTGAATTGCAAATGCTTATGTTTAAAGTATAAGCATTCACTGTCAATTACATTTTTGGCATGTTTCATGCTGAAGACCCAAAATTCAAAAGGGTGCAAACGCATAGCATGTTGCAGAGTTTTTGCATTTTTTTTTTAATATTTAGTTTGAATACTGAATTGCCTGATTACGGGAGCATTCCAGAACAGAGGTTCCACTGTAAAAGTAACCCCTCCTCGTTGGCTTATAAATTCAGAATCATTCCTTGCTCCTTTTAGTATTTTCTAAAGTCCCGTGGACTGCAGGAATGAAGGCTGGGTAGGTGCGCAGGCTGCTGCCAGGGGGTCCTGTCTGATGGTTCCCTGGGTTGTTAGTTGAAAGACACCTCTTCCAATGGAGGTTACAGAGCCAGCAATTGTCTTAGGGGTGTTCCTGGGCAGCTTGCCTACTTTGCGCAGGCTTTGCGACTCCTTACAGTGGTGGAGTGCACGCCCAAGAGGCCTTGCGTTCCACCAAGATTTTACATGCGCAATTCAGAACCCTATTTTGTTGCAAAAGTTTAGGAGCACTAAGCTATGCAAGCCCTTCTGACTGGTGTCAACAGAACCCCACACCATTTTGTAGGTTTTTGAGGTGAGATTAATGGTATATTTACTTTGAAGGCTTGTGTATTTTGTTCAAACTTGGATTTTTTTTTTATTTTCTGTTTTTAGATGTCTAGCCAGACTTCACCAGATAAAATGGGAAAGTTCCGGCAACAATACCAAAAAGCTGCTTATAAATCAAAGCATCTGTCTTGAAATGAGTGTGCTACGCCACTCCATAGAGACTGTAAGGTCTGCAATGATCTTAACTGTTGGAGAAATCCAAACCAGATGGTCTTTCCTCCATTGGTTTCAAGACAACCTAGCTCAAACCTGCAAAGTCCAATATTTATGAACATGCAAGTAAAAGGTCATTGTAATGAAGAGCAAAGTTCTACCACATGTCAACATCCAAAATGCCCAACTTTCTAAGAAAACTGCATTGCCAAGGTATCAGGTCTTAAAGATTCCATGGATAAACTGGCAGAGACACTGTGCAGAAGAGTGTTCCAGGCAGCAAGTTTCCAAGAAAAGCCACCATAGCTAGAGCCTCAGTGGCTAGGGCTCAAAGCCTTTGGCTACAAATTTGAAAGATTGTGTACTGGATGGTTCCAGTAAAGAGTTGCCTTACATTTTACAGATTAGGATAACTTATATTAGTCTCCTCTCCCTGAAGGATACGCTGTTGATGGGGCGCAGGGACAGAATACTTCGCCATCTCTGCCCGCCATTCTGCTTCCTTCTGCATCTCCTCGGCCACGACTCTCCTCAGTTTCTGTATACGTTGCTCTGTTGGGTTGGGTCCATAGAGAGCCAACATCCCCTTAAGTAAAGGTTTAAACCGTATGTGACTGTACCAATACTCCAGGCTTGCTTGGTGGTCCCAGGATGCTGCTCCTCGCATTAGTGAAGCCATCCCACCACTGTAACGGAACTTCCCATACTCCGACCGAGTACCTTCCGTTGATGGACGCTTTCTAGCTTGCGCTGAGGACCACAACCACCGGACACCACAACCACCGCAGACTCCACAACCACCGTAGCTTAACGTTGCGACTCCTGACCCACCACATGCCGCAGCCGTGCCCAAGTGGCACGGCCTCGCCGACACCATGAGCTTACCTGCTCGTCGCGAGCTGGGAGCCGCTCCTCTGCCTTCTCTGGGCATCGCGCCCAATTAGAGATGGCGCGGACCACGTGGTCGCGTCCATCTTAAGCTCCGCTCCTCAAATGAATACAAACGTGCGCGTGACGTCACGACGTCAACACATGCGCACCTTCTGGCGTCAGAGGTCACCCTCTGACCAATCAGAACCCAGAGAGGGATATTTAACTCCCTAATTCACTCTAGTTCCTTCCCCTGTGGTTTCCTGTTCCTGGTTCCCGAGAGTGCGTTTATCTTTGTGAATCTGACTTCCTGGTATCCTAAACTTGGCTTTTCCCTGGTTATTCCAAACTCTGGTTCCCCTGACTTGGCTTGTTTAAACGGTATTTGAGTATTTCTGGCTTCCTTGACCTCTGCTTTCCCTTTGACCATTCTCTAGCGTATTAGTCCGGCTATTCTAAAGTCTGGTTTATGCTCTGTCCTTTTATTTTCCTTTTCTTTTTTATGTTTATGTTTTTCTGCGTGTTGGACCACACTAGCAGCCGTGACATTACGACAGGACCATGGATCCTGCAGAACTATGCAAACATATGATTGCCTGTGAGAGTAGGATGGAGGACATGGACCACAGGTTAGATCAGTTTGCCAAAGCATTCCAGACCTTGCTCCAGAGAACTGCCTATCTGTAGGCACCCCCTGTACCACCTGTGACTCCAACACCTGTGGTAGCACCGGTGGCACACAAACCACCGTCCATAACCCTTTCACCTCCCCCTCGTTTTAGAGGTGATTCTAAAGAATTTAGAGGTTTTTTTTTTTTAAACCAAATCGAATACCACTTTGAAGCTTCCCCTGGTTCATTCCCTACAGATAGATCGAAGATTGGCAATCTAATGAACCAATTAACGGGTAAGGCTTCAACCTGGGCTAATCCCTTATGGGAGAGTGGGAATCCAGTAGATCATGATTACAATGTGTTTCTAACAGCATTTAAAGCTACTTTTGAGCCAAAAGGGAGAGAAAAGAACGCTGCCAGAGCCCTAATGAGAATAAAACAAGGTAATCACTCTGTAGCTGATTACGCCATAGAGTTTAGAAAATTTGGCCTCTGAGGTTGACTGGACCAATAGCGGTTTGGTGGATGCCTTCTCCGAAGGTCTAGCGGAGAATATACAAGACAAGACCGCAGCCAGAGATCTTCTGGTTAACCTTAATGATTTTATTGCCTACATGATAGATATTGACAACAGGCTCAGAGAGCGAGAGAAAAACAAACGTACTAGACGTTCTACCTTATCCATAGCCCCTCGTTTCTCTAACCTAGTGGTAATTAACCATGCTCCACCTCCAGAACCTGAAGCCATGCAACTGGGCATTGCAAAAGTCACTGAGGCAGAGACACAATACAGACGTAACGAGGGGTTGTTTGTATTGTGGCAAAAGGGGACATCAAAGATTTTCATGTTCGGCTGGAAAACTTGCGCACCTAAGGCACGTTCGGGACCAACCTTAGGTGTGATGTATATGTCCCCTAAATTGACAGAACCGTTTCCTTATAAGAGTTACTTTATCTTGTAAGAAAACCACTGTACAGTGTGAGGCTATGATTGACTCTGGGGCAGCGGAGAATTTTCTAGACCAGGAATTCTCTGCTAAACATATCCTGCCCTTAAGGCAGAAAGAGAGACCCACAGCAGTAGAGGCTATCGATGGGAGACCCCTTACCCAGCCTCTCATCACACACTAAACCCTGCCAATCACTGTCTCAGTGGGTATTCTACATTCTGAGGAAATGGTTTTTCAAATTATATCCTCACCTACATGCTGTCACATATTTATCCGCTTATAGAAATGTGGTTAATGACATTTACTGTCCACACAGGAAAAGTTGTGCCGAGCAGCAACCTAATCCACAGAAGGGTTAATGCTGAGCAGTAATTGTGCAAATGAAACCTGGTGTCATGTATTCATCCGCTTAGAGAAAAGTGATTGACATTTACTGTCCACACAGGAAAAGTTGTGCCGAGCAGCAACCTAATCCACAGAAGGGTTAATGCTGAGCAGCAATTATGCAAATGAAACCTGGTAACTGACTTTGGGGTCAAAGGCCGGTTACAGCCTATCAGAACTAAAGGAGGGGTATTTAGGCCCAGTTCTCAGCCTGCTCAGTGCCCTGTCGTGGTTTCCCTTGTGGTTGTCTGAGAGCGCGTTCCTGTTTATAGTTTTCTACCTGGTTTTTGACTTTGGCTTTGTTTATTGACTTCTCTATATTCTGGTATCCTGACTCCTGGCTTTCCTCATCGCTGTGTCCCTTTCTGTGTTCCCTGACCTTGGCTAGTATTTTTGACTATTCTTTGTACGTTAAATCCGGCCATTCTAAGGACCGGTAATACGTTACTTATTTGTCATCCGTGCTGTACAGTTCTACGTGCTGGATCAAACCGTAATCCTGACATTACGACATGGCCATAGATCCTGTAGAACTGTGTCAGCACATAGCTGCTTGTGAGAGGAAATTAGAGGAGAATGATCACCGCATGGATCAATTCACTCAGGCTTTAAGTACGCTTCTCGCTAGAACGGAGCATCTGCAGCCTGCAGCGTCTCCTCCTATAGCACCTCTACCCTGTGTACCTCCACCCACTGTTAATAGGACTCCTTGCATCTCCTTATCACCATCCCTACAGTTTGATGGCAATATCCAGGAATGCAGGGGTTTTCTTAATCAGGTGGAGTACCATTTTGAGGCCTCACCAGGGTCATTCCCCACGGACAGAGCAAGAATTGGTTATCTAATGAATCAATTAAAGGGCAAGGCCCTTGCCTGGGCTAATCCGTTGTGGGAGAGTAATCGGAGCATAGCTCATAATTACCAGGAATTCCTTGCCGAATTCAAGCTCACGTTTGAGCCATTGGGTAGAGAGGATGACGCCTCCACTGCCCTAATGCACATCAGACAAGGTAACCGGTCTATCTCGGATTATGCTATTGAATTCCGTACCTTAGCTTCCGAGGTAGACTGGACTAACAATGGGTTAATCTCAGCATTCAAAAAGGGTCTCTCAGAGACTATACTAGATGAGATAGCCGCTAAAGAATTACCTAAGAGTCTTAAGAATTTATTACGTTTGTCATGCATATTGATAATAGGTTAAGACTCAGAGAAGTCACCAGAAGCAAGACCAGACGTACGGCT